TTACAGCACGGAGGACAAGGCAGGAGGATCATCTGAGGTGAGGAGTTCCAGACCGGCCTGGCATCTCTACTAAAAAATACAAAAAACAATCAGCTCGGCCTGGTGGTGTGTGCCTGTAGTTTCAGCTACTCAGCTACTCAGGAGGCTGAGGCAGGAAAATTGCTTAAATCTGGGAGGTGGAGGTTGCAGTGAGCCAAGATTACACCACCATACACATAGCCAGGGCAACAAGACTCTGTCATACACATACATACACACACACACACACACACACACACACACACACACACAGCAAAACTCTTGGAGTGTTCCGTAACTATATAGTGCGAAAGGAAACACTTATTGATTTACAAAGAAATTAAAAGTTAAATTATTTTAAAATATTTGCTGGAGCTCAGAGAAAATATGAGAGAGCAAGCAAGCACTCACATGTTTGTACGCTAAAACACATGTGGCTGCTGCTGTGGGGAGGATTTAGGGAAAGAAACAAAATATAGTCAGCCCTCCTTCTTCTCCTCCCCGATCGAAACACCAGGGCATATATCTTAAAAACCATGTAAATACTAACTTAATTTTTATTTTCCTTCTTCCTTAATCTTTCTCCATGTCAAATTAAAAAAAAAAAATAGGAGTAAGAGAAGGGGCAAATCCCTCTGGAATGTAAGCAAAAGCAATTTTCTGGCAAATACAGATTTTATAAAAACTGGTGAATAGAACTGATTAGAAAAGCTATCGGCTGCCCAGGGCTTGAATGGGAAGATACATGAAGTAATAAGCTCTGCCTGACTTGAAAAGTGAAAAGGGAAAAGAGAAAAATTGTAATGTATCACAAATTCTATGAAAAGTGTGGCACCCATGGGATAGTTATTTGCCTTCAATTTTTGTTCTTGTTGTTTTTTTTTCCCCATAAGGTTGAAATCCACAAAATAAAAGCTCTTGGTTTTATAGCAGATTTTTTAAAGAACAAAAGTTTGATTTGTTTTAAACAGAAAGCACACTAGAATTTGTTTAATCAATATTTTAAATTACGACTTACTTTGGATGCCAAGAAATAAAGATTTCCATTTACATTTTTGCAACTTGTCCAAAATGAATTTAACTCACAGCAAAGCTAGATGATTGTAATACCAACCTTGTATCTTATGTAAGCACTTAAATGCAGATTGGAAGCTACTAATCATGTCATAAGGGAAGTATTAGAAATGTTTTAATTATTCATTTTTCTCCAAAAGTTGGTTTTGTATTATTCTTTCATAAGCCATGAGTATTCAAAAGCCATTTGGCTTAAAACTAGAGGGAAAGAGTCTGCAAAATAAAATTTGAAGAGCTCTTTTGCATTATCTTCTCTGACCTTGAGATGGAAAGTTAAGCAGAATTGGAGCTACTGAACTTTAGAAAGTCCCTAAATCCATGCAGTCTTTAATACCTGAAGTATTTCTATGTTCTTTAATATCAATGTGTCAGACTACCAAGGATTGCATTCTGCTTTGTTCCCTTAAGTTTAGCTGAAGGTCATTCCTGGCTTTACAGATTAAAATCTGTGCAAACTAACCTCTGATGTAGAGAAGAGTTGCTATGAACATTTTAAAGTCTGGAAGAGAAGAATTCCACACTAATCTCTTTATTAGTATCTTCTCTTTGTCAAGAGGGCAAATTACATATACTACTTTCTATATCACTGTCTAACATAAAATATTGGACTGAAAATGAATAAATTTATTATGACCACTTGGATTCAACATGTAAATTTGTGCATACTGACACATAAATTACAGTTCTCAGTATATTTCTGAAAATCTAATGATAATATATGACATTTTCGTCTTATAATACAAAGAAGCAAAAAGCTGATCTATAGATTTTCTTGGCATATATAGTTAAATTTCTACCCCAGGATGCATAATTAATGTGTTATTATTTCTTGGTAATTTCAGTTTTTGATCACTTTCTTGGTTGTAGATGTATTAATTGAATGACAGCCAAGTTGTGACTGTGGACCTGCTTTTATGCATACTCTTCCCAGAATGCTTTTCCTAAGGATCTTATTAATCTATATACCAAAACAGAGTTTAAATTTTGTTTTCTCAGTGAGCCTTCCTCAATCAATGCTAACCAAATGGGCTCTTCTCCATTATTCTCTATTCCAACCACGTTTATTTTCTTCAGAGCACTTCAAATTTTCAACTAATCTGAAATTGTGAGTTACATAATCTGACCCCTGGCTACCAACGTCACACCTCTCATTTTTCACATTCTTCCCTCTCTCATTTTTTCCCACTAACGTTCCTGGATGTTCAAAGTGTGCTCAGGAGTTCCCCCTCCTGAAGACATTCCCCCAGGTATCTGCAACTTTGCTTCCTCACTTTCTACAGGGCTCTTATCAAATGTCCCTGACTCAGGAGGGTGTTCCTTTACTAACACATCTAAAACAGCAGCCCCCATTTATAGCACTCTCCTTTTCCCAGTTTTATTTTTTCTCCTTGGCACTTGTGGTTGTATATGTATGTGTTCATTGTGCGACTCTCATTAGCATGCAAATGCCATTAGGTTTTATTTATTTTGTTCATTAGCACTGGCACAGTGTATAAAACAATGTTTGGCATAAGTCTGGCACACAATACTTATTTGTTAAATTAATTAATTAATCCCTTGCTTATCATCCGTTTCTCCCATTAGGCTTATAAGGGCCATAAAAGCAGAAACTTTTTGTTTCTGGTATTCCTCTAGCATCTTGCATATAATATGTGATAAATGAATATTGAATGAATTAATAATTGCCTCTGTGTGTGTTTTAATCTCCCTCTCCTAGTAAGTTCTAATTACCACAAAAAGTGGAATTATGTCTCTTTGTCACACCAGTGTGTACCAATCCCACAATAGGGTCTGACTTATGATAGACACTCATTAAGTGAAGGATATCAAGGACTGGGGCCAAAGTCAACAAGAACTTACAGTGACCATAGCCACCCAGAGGCCTTTACAAGGTTGACCTCAGGTCTTAATGGCAAAGTAAAAAGAGTTTTGGATAGGCACAGAGCCATGAACATCTGAGACCACCTTGTTCATCCTTTTAGGGCCCAGCCTGGACTTTGAAAATGCTTACTTCCCACAGCAGGCCCAAGAAGTTAGGTGCAGACTTCTGAGTTTCTTACTTTCAGATTATTGTTCAAATTTGTAAAGAAGTAAATCTCAATTTCAATCCATAGCTTTGATTTGTTTACTTAAAACGTTTGCCCTGAAGACTATGCTCATGTATGATGTCAATGGGCAGCGAACAAAAATAATTCAATTTTAACATAAAATCTCCACTAAATAGTAGAGTAACCTTGAAAACATCTTATCACTTTTCCATGCTTTTTCATTCGTAAAATGAAAATACCGAAAAAGAACTAGCAGCTCTAAAATGATGGATTATATATTCAGATTCACTGGAATGCCCTTGGGAGATTTTGTCAAGCACTTCTTTCCTTCCTCTCCTTTGCCCACCTGCTGCAATTCCTCTTGGTTAAACATTACAGTTTTGGTGAGCTACTGTTACTGATGGGAATCCATCAAGTGTATAGGGGAAAGCTAGGTTGAGAACCTCTGACCTATGTTATCGCTATCGTCCTTTCCATGCCAAAATATTGTGAGTCTATGAACTGCACCTCAGTTCACTAGCAAATCATTATATTTTAACACTGCTTAAGTTACTGCTATCCTGAGCTTACTGACACTAACTTAACATTAATTTTTTATTGTACTGCGAGCCAGGGACTATGGCAGACACTGAGCATTCAAAGATGAATTTAGAAATGGCCTCTTCCCTCAAGGAGTTCCATCCAATAGGGAGAGAAATGCAACAGAATATGATAAATGCTTTAATGGGGCCAAAGCAGCAAGTCAATTTAGAGCACATCAAAGGGTACCAAAGCAGCCTGGGAGAGAGGTGATCTGGAAAATCTCCCAGTAGGTGACCAAAAACTGAGTCTTAAATCTAATTAATTGAATTATAGACTGCTAAAGCTGCAAAGTGTTAGAGTCATCTAATTCAAAATCCTGATGTGGCACAGAGAGAAACTGATGTCCTAAGAGGCTGGTGTATCGAGAGTAAATATCAGAGTTGCAACTAGGACCCAGATATGTAATACTGGGCTGCGTCTTTTAAAATGCACCTTCTTTGAAGGGAAATTTTCAGAACCTTTTCTTTCATCATTTTAATCATGAAGGTATCCAATTAATGACTTATATTTTAATAAGGCACAGAGAACAATATTTTGTATATTGACTTTGTGCTCAGTAGTGATGCCAATAACCCATCATCTCTTGGTTATAGATTTTGTGTGAGCTGCGGGTGAATTTTTTCAGACTCATCCACAGGCTAAGGCTGCTTGCTTCCTGAGCTACCGCATGGACGTAATCACACGGAGAAGGACAAGTTGAGTTTGCCTGTGAGCAAGAACAAACTTTAAGAATAAATCTTAGTCCAATTAGCACCTCCTCTCAATAACTGACTGAGGCATCTAAGAGCTAAGGTAAAACCCAAACACTGAAATATTTTTTAGTAGTAGTAGTAGTATATAAAATGACTTAGGTATGCAATCTTCTTGGAGTTTTTGTTCCTAACGTAGTCACTTGATTTGGGATGTTTAACGACTGTGATTTTGTAATGGGACAATATAAGAGCTCATCACATTAAAACATAAATACTTGGGAAGCCCATAGTCTCTGATAGCTTGCCATCTGTTTGGTTCTTACTGGCAATGGATTTATCCTGCTAGTGCAGATGATGATATTGTGGGTAAAATCATGGATTATACAACGGGTTTCTGAGGTCTTTAACTACTGTTATTAATTTTGGCAGCTTGCAAATCAACATTTTCTAATACAAAATCAATTACATTTTATTTTACCCTAGGAAAGGTTGCTATGGGCACCACATAGCATCTGTTCTGGCGCCAACAAATTGCGTTAAAGTCACCCACAGTCTCTCCAAATTAAAAACCTCAAACTGAGTTCACTGGCTTTGTCATTGTACTCCCAGCAGGATGCTCTTTTGCCTTGCCCCACCGTTCAGTTTAATCCTCCAGAAAGAAAATTTTTAGAGGTACATCGGACTAAATCATTTTCGTCTGAGCACACCGTTTCCAAATGGCCGCCCAGGGTCCTAAATCCGGCGGCTGCGGAGAGGGACTAGCGGGTGTTCTCCTCTGCAGAGCCGTGGCACTCCAGCGCCTTCATCACTGGACGTTGGAAGCCGGGAAGGAAACCCACACACTCAGGGATAGGTATAACCCCGCACGGGTGCACCAGCGAGGCCCGGATCGCAGCAGAGGACTCCATCCCTGAGCTTGTGGCGGGGGGTGGGTCCTGGGGACGCAGCCAACACTTTCCCCAATGAAGTCAGAGAGCGGGACGTACTGGGTCGCAGGTCAGAAGTTGAATTTTAACCCGACGAGCGCTGTGCCCCCGCGCCTTCCGCAGCAGCCCGGGCGCCGCGGTGGCATCGAGCTGGGAGGGGACGAGAGAGGCTGGAGCGGGAGAAGCTGAGAGTTGCCACCGACCGGGAGCTGCCGGCGGCCGGAACAGGGTCGACCCTCGCCGCTTTCGAACGCGAAGCCGGGGACAGCCGGGCTCGGCTGCTGAGGCTCAGCTGCCGGGGCTCGGCTCCCCGCGCTCTGCGTTGCCCTTTGGGCGGAGGGCAGCTCCCCGCCTGCAGCGGCCCCGCCGCCGTGCGTCCGGCCGCCCCGGGGTGCGCCCTGCCCGCCCCCCGAGCGGCCGCCCGGACTCCCGCAGGAGAACCGACCCTCGCCCCCCAGCGCCAGGACAAACTTCCTTCCTCCCGGACCCCCGCGCCGCGCAGGCTGGCAGGCGGCTCCCTCGCCGGTCTCCTCTGGGCTCGCTCCGGCCGGCGAGCTTGCTCCCTGCGCCTCTCTAACCCCGAGCCCCGGGCGCCTAGCCGTCCCCGCGCAGCCGCTCCAACAAAGCCAGAGGCCTGGAGGCGACCCAGCGAGGGGCTGGGAGTGGCTGCGGGGACCCTAGAGCCCGCAGGAGGTGTCCCCTCGGCGGGGCGAGTCCAGTGTGAAGGAGCAGCGGGGACGTGGCGGGGAGGAAAGGGGAAGAAAGTGTCCTGTTCCCGGCGCAAACGCCTTCCAGGCTCGCCCTGGCTCCCCCTTGTCCTCTTGCCCGGGCGCTTCCCGCGTCCCAGTGGGAATTGACAGGGGCGAGGGGCGGGTGGGCGGTGGAGGGGAGAGTGGACATGGAGGCCTGGCTAGCCGCTTCCTTACCTCTGTCCAGGGTGAGCGGCTGGACCACTGTCAATGTCGCCATGTCTGCCGTGGGAGCCGAAGTGACGCTCGGCTTCAGCATCAGCAACCGCTTGTAGTGAGAAAAAAAGGAGGAGATAGATTGGGGGCGGGGGTGGAGAGGGAAGACGGAAAGGAGGGGGAGGAGGGGGAAGGAAGGTGGTGGTGGTGGTGGTGGAGAAGAAAGCTTGGGTGGGTTGGTAGCCAGATGGAGACGCAACTGTTCCGCGGCGGCAGTTCAGTTGCGGCGCGGAGCTGAGCAGGTATCCGAGAGCGACTGCGTCGCCGGGCTCCGGAGGGATGGCTTTGCCCTAGAACTTTGTTATTCCACCCCCAGGAGCGCTGGGTGGGTGTAGCTGGAGTGCTGCTCTCTTTCAACTTTCCACTCTAATAAAATGGTCAGAATATACGTGTGTGTGTGTGTGCTTGTGTGTGTCGGGGAAGAGGGAGGATGGAAAGGGGATATGGGGGAGGGAGTAGGAGATGAGTTTTCTCGGATTAAGAGAAATTGCCAGTCCAATAATCCCATCCCCTTAAGAGAGAAAATGCTTCTACCGTCAGAAATGTTTGAGATGTAATTACACTTGCAGTTAATTTCTGTTGAAGTTTTTTGGAACGTTGACCTGTAACTGTATTTAAAGATAACTGACTTAAGGCGAGCGTTCCATCCATAGATGTTCATTTAGGACCTGAGTATATTCCTGGTGAAAAAAAAATAAAAAAATGCAAACCTCCTAAAAGTGTTTCAAATAAAAAAAATGTAGGTAAGTTTCTCTCACTACGTTTTCTTTTTTTTTTTTTTTCAAGCCATTGTTAATACTTTACCAGTTCAGTAAATGTAGCTCAAAAACAAGTAGGATGTACAGATTTTCCCCGAATTTTTTAACTACCACACCTCTTAAACATGCCCTGCTCTCTGCCCTCCCTCCACCCAGCAACAACAAAACTTTGCTCTTAATGTCCAGACTGATTTTGGTTTATACCACTACTTTTGAAACATAAGTAGCTATCACTTTTCATGTTGTTTTCTAACCAGTGGTTCAGAGATGTCACTTATTAATTAACATGTACACCAGGAATTGAGATAGAAGAGTTACATTGCCTTGTGCCACGCCTTGATTTAGGAGTTCAATTTAGTCTCTGATTTCCTGTAGCCTGTAATGCAGCAGGAGATGATGCTATTAAAAGCCTGACTTTAGAGTCAGTTGATCAGGAGTCAATTACTAGTTCCTTCAAATACTGGTTGTGACCCCTTCGCCCCAAGAAACAGACTACTTTCACTATCTTGTCATTAGGAATTCATTTCCTGATTATGAAATCAACAAACATAGAGAAACCTTCTATAAGCTGAATAGGGGTGACTGTGGGTGCAGGATTGGAAATCACAAAGCTGCCTCCATCTTGTTCCCTGTGGCAGAATTGTTAGGGCTAGCAATAAATTCTAAAAGGCAGCTACTGTTTTATAGCAAAATATTTGCATATAAGTGGTGCCATTTTCTTCTGATTACAGATATGATTTCTGAAGGTCTTTTTCATTTTATAGTCTACAATTGAATTTTAAGGAGCAGCATTTCACCAATGATTGGGAAAGTCAAAGATGATTGCCATACATAGACTTAATAGACCCTAAAAACAAACCTAAAATAGTAGTTTGATCTGCTACTTTTTATTTAGTATTTTAGAAAGAACGCTGATCTTGACATTTGAGTCTTAGTTACATACATGCTCTTTGGAAGTCACATAATCTCTCACTGAATCTTTTTCCTCCTCTGTCATACAGTGGAAATAACATCATTCAATGTCATAGAGATTCTGTCATATGAGGAAACTAATTCCATCTTGCAATCTCACTGAACTTTGTGAGGGTCTGATAGACTCATACAAGTTGTGCTTTGAAAACAGTAAAGAATAGTCAAATTTATTTATGCAAGCATATATCCCATGGAACCATGTGGTAAGCTCTGTGCTAGGTGCTAACCTTGCAAAGATTAATGAGATGGCCCCCTCTGTCCAGTCTTTCTTGGGAGACAGTTAGCAAACCATAAACTTCTATGCAATAAGTATGCTAAACACTGTGGAAAGGAAGTGCCCTTGGAGGACGGAGGTTGAAGAAACAACTCTGGTTTGTAACCATTATTCACATGCCCTAAGTTAAGCAACAGAAAGAAGTTGAGTTGAGCTCAATGATACCAGACTGTGTTCTAAGCTTTTGCACAAAATTGTTAAACCTCATTCAGTTACCGAGGATAAAAGAACATACAAACCCCTTGACTTCTAATGTAGCTATTTTATAACATCCTTTATTAGAGAATATGTATTTGAGCACCTTGATGGATCAACCCAAAAGTCATAAATTGTACCTATTTCACCATAAATCCCTGATTGTGTTGTCAATGAAGGCCAAGTTTTTTGTCTTTTTGTTACCTGATGTATCCTTAGGACCAAACATTTTATAGCATATTTCTGGACTTATACCTTGAGCTTTCTATTTGAAAATTTGCCCTATCATTCTTTATCTATGTTGAGTCTGTATGGTGGTTGTTGTTTTGTTTTTAAATAAAGATTAAAAGAAAAATTAAGAGGAAGCATAAATCACCATATATTCATCTCTTATTTTTGGTAGCGGAAAGTTCATTGCCTTTTGCTTATATCTACACAGGCATAGAAAATTAATAATAATTCATTGTCCATTAGAATTTGTTTTTATGAATAAATAATATCTCTCCTATAATATTTGTGAATTTCTTTTTGAGACATGCAGGGGTACAATAAGATTTTCTTGACCTCTTCTTTTGCTTAGGTAGATGTGCTTATGCTTAAGTCTCATGAATAATTCCCTGGTCACTCCTGTACTAACCAGTGTTTCATCAAGGTCAATTATACTTGCCTAGTTACATGCTCGTTGCTTTGCTGTGTATTAACCTAAGAATTGTTAAAACGTTTGTAATTATACTTTTATCTTAGCTATTTGGTTACAAAATCACTACTCTTTCATAAAACAATATGTAGAAATTGAGTTCAGTGGTAACTATATTTTCATGGAGTTAACTAATTCAATAAATATTTATTGAGCACTTTTTATGTGCCAGACTTTGTGCTAGATTGGTCTCTCTTTCCTTTATTTCCAGCTCAGAAAAGTAGGTATTTTTTATGCCGTTTTGGAGATAAGTAAACTGAAGCTCACAGAGGTTACGCAACTGCAACTTGCTTAAGAATAGCAGCACCTGGCTTCATGATCACTTGTGCTTTCCACTAAGAAACATCACACCCTGCTTTTTTGTTTTGTGTTGTGTTTTGTTTTTTGTTTTTGAGATGGAGTCTCACTCTGTCGCCCAGGCTGCAGTGTAGTGGTATGATCTTGGCTCACTGCAACCTCTGCCCCCTGGGTTCAAGCAATTCCTCTGTCTCAGCCTCCTGAGTAGCTGGGACTACAGGCACCCTTCGGCACTCCTGGATAATTTTTGTGTTTTTTGTGGAGGAGGGGTTTCATCATGTTGGTCAGGCTGGCCTCAAACTTTTGATCTCAAGTGATCCGACCACCCCTCAGCCTCCCAAAGTGCTGGGATTACAGATGTGAGCTACCACGCACAGCCTCATCACACTCTCTATGTTATTAAAGATTTAGTGATTTTATTTCAGAATTCCAGATAAGTGTGTATATATATGTGTATAAAATCTTTTAAGAAATATATAAATATATATATTTATATATCAAGATATATATCTTTTAAGAGATACAAATGTATATATTTAACTATATATTAAAATATATTTTAATATATTAATAAATATATTTGATATATGTGAAATATACATTTATATATTTTTATATATTTAATACATATATATCTGATATATATTATATATGTATATTATATATATGTGATATATATACACATACACACACACACACCCCCCTTTTCTCTCTCTTTCGTGTGTCTGTTGGCTTGAGACATACTCAAAGGGAGGAATGGATGAAGGAAAGTTAGATCAAAGGACAAAATAAGCATGATTCTGGTTCCATTCTATATACATATAGGTTAGTATTCAAACAGACCTTAACATAGCTTTGAGTGATTTTGCTAATAACAGATTAATAAAATCACTGAAAGCTATGTTAAGGTCTGTTTCACTTAATTGAATCTTTTAAAATTATATGACAAAATTAAGAGAAGGTTTGAATAGAGCATGAGCATATCAAGGAAATGTGTTTAGTTAGATTATAAATGAAGTATAATGAGCACAGTTTCATATGAGAAAATAGCACCTTCAACTGGAGTTCTTTCAGCCTGGGTGTTAGAAATTGTTTTTGACTGATTCAAGATAACATGTTATCTTTCTTAATTCACACAGCTTTGTCAAAATAGCACTAGATTAAGATGAAGTGCCAACCAATACTTTGAAATGTAAATATTTATTTTTAAAACCATCATAGAGTGTCTTACTATATTTATTTATCTTCATATGTGTCTTTATAACTACTTATTTGTCTGTTCATTCAAAAAACACTTAATATGCTGACTATATGCCAGGCATTATACTAGGCATTGGGGTATTGCAGTAAACAAGAAAAAGTTTCTGTTCTCTCTTGGCTTATATTCAATAAGGAAAAGAAAGTCAATAAAGAAACAAACAAGAAAGAGAGAAATTAGCGACTTAATATTGTACAAAGAATGAATAAATTGATGACTAAACTAGACCTAGAATAATGTCAGAATTACAAAAGACAGGGATGGGGAAAAGGGCCTTATAGGGAGCAGGAGAGAAAAGCCAGTGATGAGAGAGCAGGCACAGTGTGTATTTGGGTAAAATCAGCAGTTAATTTTGTAGTATAATATAAAAACAAGCCTAAAGACAGCTATTGAGATTTCAGTGATGAAAGATAATATAATTAGTGAACAGAAATACAATGAAACTTTCATTAATTTCTTTGTGCCAATCATACAATAAAATGTTCAAATATGATCTTTGCTAAGAAAAATATTTGCATCATAGCATCTGCATTAAAAATTACTAGCATCAGAATAAAGAGTTTAGTAATCTGGAGTTGGATGTTAGAAAACTTAGGATGAAATTAAAATATTAAAATAAATTCTAATTATTTTTTATTTTCTCCAAAAGAAATAACATTTTTCTGTTTTCACAGTTGGAGGTTATGACTGATCTTTTAATAATGAAATTTAAATTCAAAGCTTAGCTTTTTCTTTTTTTTTTTAATGCATCCCTAACTTATATTTATATCTGTTAGGAATATCCAGAAATACATGAAATACTACACAAACTAATTTTTAAAAGTGAAACAATCTCTTCTCACATTTGCTCAGCAGATGTTTCCAAACTATTAGAACTCATAAACTTTAACAATTTAAAAAACATCTTTATTACCATTGTCATCTAAACATTTAAAATATATTCAAGATTGAGTAAAAAGTTATGCTTTTGTCCAATAAATTAAGCACCTGCTATATGCTAGGCACTGTTCTGTGCCTGGAACTTAGTTTTGATTAAAAGAAACAGATAAAATACAAATTAGCCAACCAATCAGATAATCTTTGACAATGGTGAGCACCGTGAACACTGATGTGCTGAAGCCTATTCACACTGTATATGAGACCCAATAATATGCATTTTGTCTCAACATCACTTTCAGTTAGATCACACTGGCATCTTCTGATTGACCATGGTGGCAGTTTTTAAACCATTGGGAGTGGTAAATACTGTACACCAATTTTTTTTTCTTCCTCTGGAAAGCCAGTTGCTAAACATTTAACAGCATACCACAAAGTACATGATGAAAATAAAATAGAATGTTGTGATGAAATATAAAACAGGGAAAGAGGCCACTTTAGAGTGGTCAGGGAAAAAGTAACATTGTATTTAACAGAGCATTTTTTAAAATAACAAATCTGCACTGCACCTGATGTCTATGTACTGACTAAGACACAGGACATGGGATGGAGTTAGAAGAAGGAGACATTCATATTTCTATGGAGTTTACAAAATAATTAGAAAATAAAAGCATAGGCCGGGCGCGGTGGCTCAAGCCTGTAATCCCA